CCCAGGCCGAAGTAGAACAGGTTAGTAGTTTGCTGGCTGTGCTCACTTCCCAGAGGCTGCGTGGGCTATGTCCTGCTGTTGCTCTGTGGCCATCATGTTCTTGATCAGTGTGTGTTGATGGGATGGATACTTATGTATACTGGGAGTGCGTATTAAATACTTCAAAGGTATGGTGGTAGAGATGTGAAGAGCCTGGAGGAGAGCTGGAGATTGCCATACCCTTAAAAGCTACCTAATTCCAAAGATAAGTTGTGAGCAGCAGCTATACTAAGCTTCTGTTACCTGGTATCATACCTCTCTCATGGGAAGAGCTGTGCAGTGTTCAGAGCAACCCTTAAGCCTTGTCAGCTGCTTCGAGAGAACAGTTTGTGTGCAGACTTTGTGTGATGTGAAAGGAGCTGTGTGTGTTAGACAGGTTCCCAGTCTGGAGTGTGACTGCTGACATGCAGTAACCCTTCCATACCTCAGCGGGGCGGTAGCATATAGCTCTTGCTCTTCCTTTGCAGTTTTCTCAGGATATGATAGTGATGGTGGGTGGGTGGGGGGGGGGGGGGGGTGGAAGATATGACACAGGCTTAATGGACTTGAGAATTTCTCAAAGCAGGTGAGAGTGGGAACCTAGTTGAACTGTAAGAAGTACCTGAACTGACACTTTAGCATGATGTCTAGGACTTTCCTAGTTGCAAGTAGGCAACAATTCTAAAGCTATTGCCTATCTTGCCCTTTCTTTTCACCTCAGCCTTTCCCTTTTTTGTAACTCAGTATTAGTTAAAGGCCAAGACTCTGCTCTTATATCAGTGAAGGAAGCTGAAAAAGTAGCTGCTGCTCTTCTTTCTTCCGCAGGTGGTTGGCCTAATACGAGTAAACGTAGACAAAGTGCTGGAACGAGACCAGAACCTGTCAGAGCTAGATGACCGGGCAGATGCACTTCAGGCTGGTGCCTCAGTGTTTGAAAGTAGTGCAGCAAAACTCAAAAGGAAGTACTGGTGGAAGAATTGCAAGGTGAGTTTCCTGGTGCCTTTGTATCTCTCTCATGAGAAGGAGATTAGACTAGTGTGCTCCTGCAGCATTCTGAGAGGGTAGCTGGGACTTAATAACTAGTTCAGATGCTTAGGATTCTTTCACTGTGGGAAGACTTGAGGCCTGGGCTGTCCTGCCTTCAGGGTGTGGACTGTTTCCTGGCTGTCAGGGATTTGTCAATCTGTTCTGAGAATTACCCTCTGACACTCTCTCTCCCCAGATGATGATCATGATGGGAGTGGTTTGTGCCATTGTGGTGGTGGTGATTGTAAGTAAGTACCAAAAAACAGGATTGGAGGTGAGGGAGCCCTAACTCTAGAATACTCTCAAGTTTCCTTTCTAGTTTAACATCTGGAGGGGCTTGTTCGCATAAGTGGTAACTTCCAGCGGCACCATCTCCCTTTCTCAAGAAGGGAACTCCCATACTTCCTGGGGAAATGGTATGTTTTACATAATAGTAAATTGAATTGGGGGATCATCCCTGTAGAAAGGGGAACTTCTGCCTGCCAGGTCAGATGAGCTTCTGAGTGTGAGGGGCAGCTATCCTGGAGGGGTGGGTTGGTGAGTCCCTTCCTTGGTGGGGGCTTTGGAGCTCTCTAGGTAACTGAGGGACCCTTGGTGTAACTTGCCCTTTTGTTCTCTCCTTTCTTTTTTCCTATTGCTTTGTCTCCAGTCTACTTTTTTACTTGAATGTAACCCCTTCAGTCTGCCACCTGTTGTCCCCTGTCACCTTACCTGTCTCTTCTTCCCCCTAAATCTTTCCTTCCTTTCCTTCCACCTAGCTTATTCATTGATTACTGGTTTTGATTTGTCTTCTGGATAAGATTCTGAAATGTTCTCCTGAACGTAGGTTAGACTCTTCAACAGCTACTGCAGCTCTAAGAAGGATCCTCTGAACTTAGAGGAAAGGGGAGTGGAAGAGGAGTGGGTAGCTATTAATCCCGCTCTTCTGTAGGGAATATGTGGTTTATGTTGGCTGTGAGCTTGTCAAATAGTGCCTCTGTGACTCTGGCAATATAAGAACACCTTAATGCAGTTAAGTTGGGGGATGAAGGTCTTGAGCATATGAGGTTCTTTAGCATTCTGCCTAATAAGTGTGGCAGCATGACTTAAGCTTTTCACTTAGCTTCTGAAATAAAAACTAGCTTGTCTTGGTCAATGAGCGTGGTCCATCTGACTTGAACATAAATCATTTAGACCTCTCTTGCCATGGAGAGGTAAGCACTTCTAGAAGTGATTTAACCTGCCTCCTCTTAGGTTAAGGTGACTTGAGCTCTAAAAAGGCTGTCTCCCTGATTATAAAGGGGAGCCTGTGTGATTACTTCTGTCAGTTATAACAGATTAAATGCAAAATAGAGAGTAACAGAACTTATTTCAGTTAAAAGGCATGTGTAGGAGTAAGAAAATCTGCCAGAAGGAATAAAAGGACAAGAGTGAGGAATACGGTGGGGGAGAAGGTCAAAAACACTCCTTTCCTCTATGTAGACACAAGCCAGGCTTCTGTGGCTTTAAGTATCTTTTAGCTTTCTGGCAAAGTCTGCGAAGGGCAGAACAGGAGGAGGAGCTTTGGTTTTTGTGTTGCTGTATTGAATGTGAAAGAGTTCCCTATGTGACGGGTAGAGGTGAAGGAGGCTAGAGATATTTTGGATGAGACTGAACAAGCCACACAGCTTTCTGATTGAGATCGGCTGCAGCAGGAGTTACGGAAAACTCAAAACAGCCATGGATGCAAAGAGAAATGCTGCTCTGGGCATGTGCATTGCAAAGTGACATCAGATGTCCCTGTTTAGCAGCTTAGATATCTGTCTGGCCTATCAGACTGAAATCCTGTTTGCTACAGACTTTCTTGAACTTGAGTCCACAGTGGTCTCTGCCAGAAGTAAACTTAGAGCATGGAACTCCATGGCTTCCTGTAAGCAACCCATGTCTTGTTCTCCTTTGGAATGAACAAGAAATGTGAGTTATTTAAATGTATTGTCAAAGCTAGAGTTAAATGAGCTGTCCTGTTCATCAGTTTCTGCCCGGTCTTTTGGGGTGTGTGCTTTTTTTAAGCTGAACTGTAGCCTGTAATCTAGCCCAGAAAGAGAGCATTCCTTTAATTTAGGAAGCTCTACCTCAGGTCTAGGATATGCTGGGATCTGCCTAGGCTTAAGGAGGGGTGGGGTGGGGGGGCAGGGGAGAACATCACTGGAGTTCCCAAGTGGGAGAAGTACAAGGTGGTGGGGGGAGCAGATGCTTTTTGCCCTGGGCATGCTGGGAAAGCCACTTTCCTTGTCCTAGAGCATCTGGGAAGGGGCTAGATTTTGCATATTCACTTCCATGCCCCAGCATTTCATCTGCGCTGAGTTCATCTCCCTGCAATTCATTCTTTCAACTTGAGTGAGGGCAGAGATGAAGATTTGGAGTGAAGCAGCCCCCATCCCCTGGGCACTTCCCTAATTCCCTGTGGAACTGAGATGTGATGGAAGGTCAGAAGTGCATCTACTGAAGAGGAACCAGGGCCTGCTTGTGCTACTTACTGCTATCATTTAGGGGGTGGTCATACCAGCTTAAGGCCCTCAGACCAGCAATTCTCTTGAAGACTTCTAAACAGTGTTTGGTGCCTCATTTCTCTTGTCCCTCTGGGGACTGAAGTCTCCCAAGGTTGTCTCTTCTATTTCTTTCTCTGGGATGTTGGTTGTATGTTACCTCTTCCTCTGCCTTTCCCCCTTCTTTGTGTTTCTGTGCATGGGCAAAAAAATCACCAAGGCCCTCTGAATATAAAGCAAGGGACTCTGCTCAATCTATAGCACTTCAGCCACTCATGCATGTGCAGTTTTCCTTCCTCTATAAACACAACTGTAATCTCTTCTGGCATGTTACAGTAATTAGCTCATGTACTTTGAACAGTCTCAAAGAAACAATTCACCACCTTACTGAGTCTGCCTGTTCTGTTAGGGGGTGGGGAAGGGTGCTGGGGTACCAAACTGCTTATGGAAGAACACTTTTTCTTGCACTCTTCCATACTACTTGCACATCTGAAATTCTGCACCTCAGAGCAATGGGCAGTCTTCCATTGCAATGATGCTAGTTCTGATTCTACTGGAAGCATTTTACAGACTTACTACTGAGTCAGTCCTGCATAAGATACGGGAGCTAGCAGCTCTGGGCGAAAGGCTGACTGATCAAATTTAGCTTCCAGCCACTGAATGCACAGCTCCTGTTTAACGCATGGGGGTAGTCCCTTGAATGGGACTGTGCTGGTGGCTTTAGTTCCTCAGACTGTACTGCCTTCAATTTCAATGACTCATCCTTGGCCCCTTCAACCAGAACAGATTCCCCCCCTTTTAAGGTGGGAGTGAGGTTGGGAGATGTGCATTTGGGGTTTAAATGAAGAGCTCCAAGAGCAGAATGCTGTCGACAGCATATCTCACAGCATGGCTGGAGTAAAGGTAAGTGGCTGCCCTTCTTGTTTTACTTCACTGTACACTTGAAATTCACTAAATTGTTAGAGGTAAGAGTTTTATCCAGTGCTGGCTGACTTTTAAAATGAGATGTTGGTGCCCTAATTTGCCACTGCCTTAGACTGCATTGCCAAAGAATATTCCCTCTGGCTTGTGGTTCTCTGGTGATTAACACATGTCTGTTAAGAGTGTTAGCTGCAGTCTAAACATCACCAAGATCATATCAGAACAATATCTGGTAAATGGTGAAACTGGAGCAGTGCAGGTAGTCTAATTCTTTCAAAGATGAAAGTCATCTTGGGAAATAAGGGTGTCTGGACTGTCCAGTGGATTAAAGTACTATATGCAATCTAAACTTCAAAACAGATCAGCTGTGCACAACCTGAATGAGTCCTGTTACAATTACTGCCAATTAGTGTGCCTTCTTCCTGTTACAGTCTTCAAGATTGTTCTGTTTTTTCTTTCTTTTTTTAAAAGAACACAAAGTCTGCAGACCACTGACTACACTAGCCCTAGCCTATCCTAGGCACTGGCGTGCTCTCCACAACCAGCTGCTCTGAAAGACAAACCTGTGTGGTAAATATGCTGCCTCATTCGTAGTAGGCCAAAAATTGCCCTGGGGGTTGTCCAGCTCATGAATTGTGTGAGGCTGGCCTGCAGCGTTGCATGTCTCTGACCATAAACCCTGTTGTAGGGGTTTGAAGTTCCGTGCTTTGGGAATACCTTTTGTCAGAGGCGCCATCCCTTAAAGCATCTGAGCCTCTGCTGCTCCTGTTGAGTCTCTTATCCTGGACAAATTGTGAGCGCTCGAAGCAAGAGCAAGGCTTTGGCAAAGAAAGGGTAGTTCTTTGAATATGCAATTAGAAATTCAAACTCTGCCTTTAAATGTGCAGCTCCCCTATCAACTGCTCCATTCTGAAGGGCCTGTGACCCCTTCAAATTTGGGGGGGGGAAGCCTCAAGCATACTGCCCTTAAATGGATAGGTCTAAAACCTTCAGATGTCTCTAGATACCTTAGTCCTTGCTCTGGCCTTTCCTCTAACTTCTATCAGAACCCATAAATCAAAGTGGGCTCCATGCCTGACAGCAGCAATGGGTCAATTTCTTGCTCTCAGCTGGAGAGTAACTAAATAATAATGAGGAAGATAGAAAACATTCTACTAATAGAGTAGGGGGAATACAGCATCAGCAGTTGGTTAATGGACCTACTTCTCCTGTGAAGTGACAGAGGGTCCAGCTCTGAGGTATCTATTGGAGTTGGAAGCCTTAACTTGATTAAAGGAGGCAATAAAGATAAAATTCTTGTACTTTTCCATTGTTCTGCCCTCTGAGCAATTATTTACCATCTCAAAGATCTAACAGGTAAGATTGTAGGTTTCAAAAATTCAGTAACTCAGTCATGTCTCTTGGATACTTGAATTCAGCCCAGTGTTTCTTCCAGAGTCTCCATGATGCGTCTTGGAAGATGTAGAAATGTAGTACACAGTTGATCTCATGTGTTAATGCTGTCCCTTCATGCAACTTGTTTTCCTTTTTACCAGCCAAAATAAAGTTCAAAGTTGCGCTTAATACACAGCTGCCATACTCCTAAATATCTTCTTTCTTTTAATGAGTTAAACAGTTTTTCTGACTTACTCCCCAGGTTTCCAATATGAACAGCCTGTAAACAACCTTTTCTAGTACATGAGCCTTCTAAGTAATTGTCTTGCAGTGGCATCTCATCTTCTGACTTCCAGTCATCATCCATTTTCTGTGGCATTTCTCTGGTTGCTTCAGAAATTCACAGCCTTCTGTCTTTGTGCACCTCCTTGTTCTTGTGTCATTCCCCAAATCCTTTTCTGTTTCTCTATGCCTGCTAAAGACTTTCTTTCCTGTCTTCCTATAATTCCCCTTCATAGCTCTTTTAAGCTCTGTAACTAGGAAACTGCCCCTGTGCTTTTTAATTGTTGTGCAAGTGCTTGCATGTGTCCATTCTGTTAACTCTTATTAGGAACATTGCCTTGCTCTCTGCCAGATTGCTGACTGTCACACTTTTGAGGAACAAATTTTCAAAAGATAGCAGGGTATACCTTGTACATGGCTCCCTCTCCTATTATGTTCCTTGCCTTCTCAACTAGCCCATGCTTAATTTTCCTTACTTCCAGCCCCACTGGAGTTGCATCTTTCCTGCTCTATGTAGCTCTTGTAGCTCTGTGTTGCCATAGTGGACTTAGTGTTCTTTCTACCCTCTGAGCTGTGCGTGACCTCTGAATTCTCTGAAAAGATTCTTCCACAGTCCTTTAACTCCTTGAACGTTCTTCTCTCTTGTAGCTCTATGGCCATTCACAAACTTCACACCCTTTCCTAGCCTTTTCATATTCTTGCTGTCCTTTCCTCAAGCTTCCCTTTGTCCAGATGCGCACACTTCTGTTAGTAGTTCTCCAATCTTTTTCTCCCCAAATGTTTGTTGTGGTCTCCTTTGACCTTTCCCCAGCCCCTACTCTTATGCACACTATTATAGTTCCCTGGTGCTTCCCACCACTCTACTCCCTTCATTCAAGCGTCTATACCCCTTCCAGATGGTTCTGTAACTCTTTCTACCAATGTGTTGGAGTCTCCTCTCATTCTTTTGCCTTGCAGTCTTGTCTTACACCATCTTGTACACCCACATTCTTAAATCCTTCCTGCTG